CAGGGTGAAGATAAGGATGGGAGGAGCCATGTAGCGGATACCCGCCCACATGCACATCATCGCGCCAGCATGGTGGTAGGTCTGTAAAGTCGAGCTCTTCTTGCCCTTCGCCAGAATGATAGCAGTGTCCAACACCTCGTAGAACTTGGATAGATAGAAGATCCAGCCCAGGTAGGCCAATCCTTGGTTCCACATACGGCCAACATCCGTCGGGTCCGGGACACCACCCGCACCCAACTGGTATTCCGGGTTCGGCATTTTCCACTGATCGGTAACGGAGTCGTAGATGGCAGCATTGCCGTAGCCCCGCGGGCCATTGATCTTGCAAAGAGAATCAAGCACGCCTACGACGCCGTGCGGGTCCTCGCGGTGAGGCCACGAGTTGCGGAAAGCCTGGAACATGCCGACAAACGTCCATGCGGAATAGATGGCCAGGAAGACATTGTGAAGGATGACGAAAAGCTTGAAGAGCCGCGTTTGGCTGAAACCCCAGGGCTTGTACCCACGACTCTTGTTGATGCGGTTGATGATGACGACGGTGACTGCGTAGACGCTGGCAATGGTAATGGGCACGCGAACGTCCAGGAGCTGTTTGTACAACTCAGGGGGAATGTTGAACGGCTGGTTCCATGTCGGCTCAGAGATCAGAGGAGCAGGAAGAGGCTCAGGAAGCTCGCTAGGAGGGAATTTGAAAAGCGAGGCGGGCGGCAAACCGAAGCGCACGACAGCAGGGCCCGCCTCGGTGTCGACGTTGAAGTCGATCATGATCGAATACTTCCTGACGGCGATTTCACAGGTGAAGCAAGAATTGACGAGAGAGGACTAGACTTTCGAGATAACAAGTCTGTGGCCCTTTCCTAAACAGAGGAAGACGAGACCAAGAAATAAGGAAAGGGTGGGAGAAAAATTAAGAAAAAAAAAAGGTTCAACGTCGCAAAAGTACCTCCCGAAGCAGAAAAGGGTAATTGAAGTAATTCCACCTCCTCCCCAAGGTTCGATCAAATCGCGCAGAGGCAGATGCGGGATAGATAAAATCTTTAGAGATGTGAACTGTCAACTCGAAAGCAAGTATCAAGTGAGTCTCTACAAATCAAGATAGTCTAATCGCGTCAATGACAAAAAATATTGAAGGGTCATTAGTATCTCCAAAAGTGGAGCCGTGATGCATTTGTTGGGAATTTGGCTGCTCTGGGCGTCGATGAAACCTCGGCCCAACACAATTTATCGCAACGATTCGACCTCTTCAGCAGGCTTGTGAAGAAGATGTTCTTCTGGATGCATCATGAACAAGGGCCCTTACGGATAGTTATATAGAAGCGCATTGGTCAAATCATGATGATGATGCTATAGCTTATTGCTCAGACCCAGGCAGTGTGTACCTCTGTTAGATACCTGTTGGCTGGTTTCTTGCCACTGCCGTCATCCTCACGCGATGTGCTGAACAATGATGCAAGGCATCGAAGACTCGGTGACCTCTGGGAATAATTCGACATCTTCTATACTTCAATAATAGAGTACATCTACTTAGATGCAAAGCTACACAAGTACAACCCTCGTACTTCCATCCCTGTTGACCTGTATAGACTGTAGGAGGATGGCGACCTTTTTTAAATGATCCGCGTCGCAAAAATGATGCGCAATACCAGCCAACTAGCCAATCAGAAATTTTAGTTTTGGCGTTTTGGCGTCCCGCATTAGTCAGCGATCGGGCCGCGAATACCCCGGATTTGGCATGGCACGAGATTTGCAGGCCTTAGGCCTTAACCCCAAGGCCACCAGGGCCTAGGCATCAAGGCAACATCAAGGTGTCATAGCGCCTGGAACATCATTCACATGAAGCATTTAAGGATTCATTCCAACAAAGGGAAAATAGCGTAGTTATAGACTCTAGAGATATAGAATGAACCGAGGCATGGGGGCTCATTGATTCAACATTTCTACCCCTGAGCAAAACTAGACTCACTGCAGGATTGCACTAATGCAAGTTATGCAACCAACACAAAGGTGCAGATAGGGAACGCCTATCAACCTATCAAACGCCATGCCGGTTGACCGATTCTACTCAAGGATCTTCAGCTCGCCTTCAAAGCACCTAATTAAAACTTTTCTTGAGATGGCGGAACGCATAGCACTGATCTGATTCTGATGGTGTTCCATTTGCTGTCTAGTTATCAAAATTGCCTCTCCCTGAACCACAGTACGGCAGGGCAGGCCTTGGAGTTGCGATTTTCGCTGAAGACGGTAACAAGCCACATCCGCCACAGCCGTTTTAGTCGATGGTATTTATCCGAGAATAGCCAGTCAGCCGGAAGACAATACTACTAGGCTCCCTATTCAAGTCAATTGGCTGAGAGCCTGGGAGTAAATGCAGTTTTTCCACTTTCGTTGCGAGCCCTACTACCGCGCATTTCACGTCTGTTCCAGCCTAGCGTTGGAGCGGTTGGTGGATGCATGTCCAAAAAATATAATGTACTTGATCTATTGTATAGTGAAACGAACGTGATGGACAAATCCCACAAGGATAAACGTAGTAGATACAATCGACTCGACATCAGTTGACCTAACCTCCGCTCAGGCGGGTTTGGTACTCAGCGGGAGCGGCGGAGGCGCAGGTGATGATGGAGAAGGGGCGTTGACAGGTGTTGATCGCATCGCTGCTTTCTTGGGAGGTGGCGGTGGTGGGGCCTTTCGCCGGTTCAATGCGTCTATTTCTACTGAGTCGGATGAAGGCTGGCTTCGACTAGGGTGCGGCGGTGTAGGAGGAAGCCGGAATTGCTGGGACGAGATGGATGTGTTTGCCGACCTTTTCTCGTCGACAAAGTTATTGAAGCGTTGAGTGATCTTGTATTTGTCATTCAAGTCCTGGACTCGTTCTTTGCCCGCTTGAAGCTTATCGTTATGGCGCTCGCGCAAGTTGCTCACTGTAGATGTTGCCGATGACTCGGGCTGTGTTGTGCTTCCACGAACCGGCGGGGAGGGGGCATGGGTTGGAGATTGAGGTAAGCTTGTCCTCATTTGCGAGAAGCGAGCTTGAAGCTCATTGACCGAGGCTTGGCCGGCTACTCCACCGGCTGTGTTGCTAGGGCTGCTTCGATCGTGTCCAATGCCAAGCGAAGGAACTGAAACTCCAGCATTGGATAGACGGGTGACAGCACTTTGGTTCAAGAGCCCCTCAGAAGCCGGTTCTGATGGGGAATATGCCGGGGGAGGGGTTGCTGGGTGCGACTGTTGAGTAGAGTTCATGCGAGGAGGAATCCGAGGCGGTACGCTCGGCACTGGCCTAGAACCCGCAGAGGACACGGAACTTGCCGGTGAATGCATTCTTCGGGCTGGAGGAGGTGGAAGATTATCCGTATTTATACCCGTCGTATTCACTCGGTAGGGTAGCGGTGGACCAGCTGGTCTTTGGGGTTCGGCTTCCTCAGCTCGATTCTGCTCCTGCTGCCGGGCCTGCGCGTGCTGGATCTCTTCCTGAGATAGAGGCGCCCCTAGTCCCCTGCGATCCGGCGTCGTCTGATTTGGAACCGCACCAGGTCCATGGACCGCAATGTGTTTCGGTGGTGGCCCGAAAGCGGATGGGTCCTTGAGTGATGACAGGGGTCGAGAGACGTGCTGCTCCTGCTCGCTGTCCCTATCCTTCCCCTTTCCCATCCATCCTGCCTATACCAAAGCGAGCGTCAGCGAATGCCAAATACTGAATTTGCCCAAAAGGTCGGAGAAGTACGAACCACTTGATTGATGCCTTTGAAGTCTCCCCGCCAGCTTTCTTTTCCTCCAGACTTACCCTTAGGGTGCCAGCCCTCTTTCAAAGTCTCTCTTAAGCCACTCATAGTAAGCTCAAACGTATCCCAATATATCAAGATAATGGAATGAATACAAGCACAACCGTGTTATGACGCCGATCCAACTAGGATCGGTGACGCAGCATCTGGCGTCGTCCCCGCCCCGCACTCTCAGTTATCTCCAATCTCCGCGGGGCACGTGACTTCTCTATTCTTCGCTTCCTCTTGCTCCATGCTTTCTCCCGTTTCCTTCGTGATCATGTTCAATTATACGAGGTAAAACCTCATCTCATTGGCAAGGGCAGATGGGAAACAGTGTTGTTTCAGCTGACATTAGAGTTCAAACCCTTGCGTGACAGTGACAATGACTGAGTGTCTTGTCCTACTGTCGAAGCATTTGGCCCCCAACGACATGCATTTTCGTCTTAAACTGCCTAAGCTAACTCGCCGATCAAAGCAGTAGACAACTCGGGTCGCTATGTCCTCGTGCTTGCTGATATGGCCCACATAATGCGACCGGGAAGTCTGTCTTCATTTTGAAACAAGAGTACTCCGTACTGCGTACTCAAGTGAGCGAGGCGCCTATACAACCGCCGTGGACATCATGGAGCCTTATCAATAGGCACTGATGCTTGCATCATTCCGCGCGCCAGGACTTCTGGAGCGGTCAATCAGCGATGAGTTTAGTCCCGTCGTGTTACGAATACATGGTGTGCAGCGGCTCGTGTTCAGAGGCAGGCGGCTGCCTCAGTTCCCGCTGATTGCCTGCTGATCGGTTCCCTTTCATTGTCCGGGTCTATACTTGGTAACCGCTTGAAGTTGCTGCGCCATGTCAGCGCTCCCTTTGGCGACCTTTTTTTTTCTTTGACCTTTCTTTTCTGTTGTCGGTCTCGTAAAAAATGATCTTCTTCTCCTTGCTTTGCCCCTCTTCATCAGCTTGTCGTTGCAAGTTGTTACTGGAGGGAAGAATACGGGAGAAATTTCAAGTGCATGCTTATTCGATTTCTTACACTCTGTTGAGCTTCCAACAATAAGCAACTTTGGCGGTTGAACAGGTTTTGAATGTGAGGACTGGCTTCTGCTCTGCATTTAGTCTGGCGAGCCTGGAGGACAATTGCATCGTCTCAATAACTGGTTATGCGACGTTGAATCATTCGAGGGAGTGCTTGTCTTATTATATCCCGGAATCGTGAGGCGGCCACAGATAGGTATAACAGAATGATTGATCGTGAAAGGCCGAATTTCGTGGACAGCGCCAATGAGCACAGTATACAACCGCTATCTCCTGGAGAGGAGCAGCCATCGCCATGGTACGGCGAGTCAGTCTCTACATCTTCGCAGACATCTCTGTTCGGGTCGGATTTGACGGCTACCACTGTGCAAACAACCGACACGATATATGAACCGACATCCCTCACATCATCAATCACAAACGTTCTCGCGACGGCGACCACAGTAATCCCTTCAATCTCATCATCAACTGGGACTTCTCCCCAACCGGGAGACAGCAGCTCGGGAAGCAGCAACACGAAGACAATCGCTATAGCTGTCCCAGTATCCGTAGTTGGCGCTGCATTGCTCCTCGGAGCGTTATTCCTTCTTTTGAGACGCCGCCGTCGGAAAACTCGACAAGAGAACCCATCGGACCTTCAAGTTGATATGGCTCAGGCAACTCGAACAAACCTGCTGCCACAAAACGGTACTCCATGGAACGTCGGACACGCAAGATCCCATGAAATCCTCTTCGACGGCCCCTATCCTTCTCAGACCGCCTCAAATGATCACATTCCCATTCGACCAGCACAGTCATCCAATCATCAAATAAACACGACGCCTAGATCCCAACCACCTACATTGTCTATTCCTACTCCTCCAGCTGGAGTCACAGAGCATAGACAACCAGAAGGCGGATTAGGGTTACCGGAAACCAGCCCAGTCACAGCTGGATGGCGAGCCGGAAGCGAAGATCGTCCCCGCTCGCCTTTTGATCATCCGTTGGATGATGCCATGTCCGAGGTGTCGGGTTTGAGTGACAGGCGGGGAGCCACGCATAGTCGTGATCTAGATGATATTTCATCCGTATCTTCCATCGGTGACGATGAACCCGCGACGCGCAGATGATGCTGCGAAACGCGATGGGTTAAGCCTGAGTTCATTGGACGATTTTAATGAGGAGCGGTACCCTTGATTCTTTGTTGAACGATGCTATCTGGCGAATTTTGTCCGTACCTACGAATCGAGTAAGAGAATGAGATTTGGAATGAGAGATTGTCATTTCTTTTGATGCCTTCATGTGGTATCTACAACTTTTTCTATCTCCTTTTGAGGCTCATATATACACGTTCGGACAAAGCGACTATCGTCCACCTCCAAAATCCGGCTTGTAAGCCACGACCTTGCCCTTCATTAGCTCTCTCAGCGCCATGGTGGCATACTGGCTCGATCCGAGCTGGAACTTAAGAATCACGGCGATCTTGTCAGCGGAATCGGCATTAGACTCAGTAGCCGCTTTCTTGCCGTTGAGCCTGTCCAAATCCGTCTGCACGAACTGCTCGTCGTCCTGAGAATACAGTTTCACATCCACTGAGTAGTCCGCGCCCATCCGGCTAAGGACCTTGCGATAGCCGCCGCTAAGACTGATATCCTTCCACTTGCGCCGCATGTCGAATGGATCGAGACCACCGCCTTGCTCGCTGCCCATGAAGCGCTTGTAGAAGTTGGTCATCTCGTTGGCGGGGTAGACCACGTCGAATCCAGGGAGCGGCAGAACGACGTCGAAAATGGAATACTTGCCGCTGGCGGCTTCCTCGGCGGTTAGGGGGCGCGCGCGCTCGAACATGTCTTCGGCTGAGTAGGCGCTGTCGTGTGCCGCGGGCTTGACGACAACCTCGCCGTCGGCGTCGACCTCAGCTTCAGGGCCGGTTGCTTCGACCTTTTCGCGATGCTCATGGATAAGGACGAGGTCGCCTTCTACTACTTTGTCGCCGTAGAGCCGCCAGCGCTCGCCGACAGCGAAGTTCCAGACAAGTGACTGGTAAGCGTGCACATACATCAGACGTAGATTTCGGGGAATGGTTTGCAAAGCTCCGAGATAATCGTTCTGGGAGCGGCCCAGATGGCGGATCAGGTTGTTTTCCGCTGAAAATTTCCGGGGTAGTTTCTCCACGGCCTCGGTGACTTTGCCGGTAGTCTGGAAGATGTGGATTGCTTCCGCACGAGCCTTGTCATCTGAGCTAATCAAGGAGCTCGAGTTGCCTTCCTGGGCTGCGGCAAGGATATGAGGACTGTAATGCAGGATTGCATCACAGGCACCCTTGAAGTCACCCTGGAGCATCTTCAGACCGACCATATCCGTGCGGGTCGCAAAGGTTCCGAAGCGTTGCAGGCCGTAGTAATTGAAGTAACCGCGCTCACGGAGGTTTCGCAACGCAGAGCCCACAAACTCCTTGGCCGTGGCGACGGCATCTTCGGGATTTTGAAGGTCCACACCAGGAATAACGCATTCTCGCAGAGTGATGACGAACTCATTACCCTTCAGGTCACCCAGCTCGAGGCCATGGCGGCAATACTCGTAGTCTCCCACGGCCGAGTTGCGAAGGGCAGAGTTGAGCTTTGCGAGCCGGTCGGCAAAGACCCGGCTTACACATGCTCGCTGCACGGTCACACCACGTCGGTCCTTAGTACCGGCAAACTGGAAGCTTCTCGGAGCCATTTTCATTGAACGCGCCAGGAAAGATATAACTTCCATCGTATCCTTGTTCTCCTTGTATATCGTAAAATGCAGATAGGAGCCTCCCAGCTCCTCGAAGTTGAGTCGGCCTCGTTCGCGCCCTGAACCACGTCCACCTTGGGGGTTGCGCTTGTTCCGGTTAGGAGCGGCCGAAATATTCATCATGCCTTCACTATCAGTTTGCGATTCGAGTAGCGAATTGAAAATGCGACGGATTGCCTGGTGGATCTTGATGCGCTGGTCGCGATCTGTGACAACGACGGTGTTCACTCGACCCAACTCGTTCGGTCTCGCCCTGGGGTTTGATAGGGCACGGGTATGTAGAGCCAAAATTCGTTCGGTGGCCTCAGTGCCAAAGAATGACTCCAATAGTGCCTTGTCTTCCTCTGAGAGCTGGAACTCGGCAGCGGCCTCCTCTTTAGCGGCTGGCGCATCTTTCTCTCCCGCGGCTGCTGACTCTGCAGTATTATCCGCTACAGGAGCTTCCGACTTGGATTCAGCATCGTTGGTCTTCGCTCCATCTGCAGGCGAAGCGGGAGGATTCGAATTCCGAAGATGCAAAACTTCACCGGACGGAAGAATCTCATTGACGAGGAAATCGGTGTATCTGAGACAAAAGAGGGTTAACTTGGTTTGCAGTATCTCAGGTCTCAGTTGTACCTCTTCTTCAGAACTCCGGAAAAGCCCACGTTGTCTGAACTGACAAATTCGGTGATTCCGACCTCAGCTTCCTTCAATGCTTGAGCATCCCCGTCAGAGATCTCCAGAGCCGGTACGATGGAAGGAGGCAGCACAGCATCGTCCGAGACGGGGGTATCCTCGGTCTTGAGTCGCTTGCGCGGTGACTCGACAATATCTGCGCCCTCCATTGTTGAGATACGAGTATTTCTGCACGAAGATACTGGATCTAGAGCTGCAGCTTGGTGTCAGAGACAGTCGGACAACTGCTTCAATCTCCGCAAGAGCCTTTACCGAAAGCGGTATAGACCAGGGCTAGCCCTACTGCCTATTTGGGACTTCTGATAGCAACTGTAGGTAGACGGTACTTTGAATTCCTTACGTATACTTATTTACACGGAGTGCAGTGTCTACCCTAGTTCAAGTGATTATTTGTTATCTGAAAAGGTCAATATTATTCCCTAGTGTAACAATTCAATTGTTAGCACAATGAGGATTGTTGGATCGTCTATATAAGCGCTGCGCATCATGTAGCATCCTCGAGTATAAAGATACATAGTAACTTCTCCATCAAACCCCCTCGAGGCTATTCTGAATATCACTCAAGTAATGAACTAAGCCCATCAAGTCAGCAGTTAGGTCAAGGGCATAGTAAAGATATCATTTCAGGTGTCCAGGCCATGTCAAAGAAACACAATGGACAAAGACCAACATGCTACAGACAAGGACAAAGGGCCTTTGAGACTCGAGGCCTCCTTGTAGGATCCCGCTCTCACAGTTTGACCCAAGTTCGAAACATTAGAAGACTTTAGAGACCTGCACGACTAAACAAAGAGTGGTAACCGTCTGGATGAACCTACTGAGAACTCAATAGGCTTTCATGATATCAAGACCCATGGATCCTCATACAAGACATCGAGATGTTGTTCTCTATCATATGCCTTACTACAAGACTTCTACAAGTTATAAAGACACTCAGAAAGTATCCTTTGTCGAGAATGAGACTCCTGCTAATAGAAAAGGATTTCAGATCAACAGGTCCATGGATTCGAGTCTTTGTCTCTAGTAACGATGTCCTATGGATATCTCCATGAAAGTACTGAAGTGTTGTCTTTCTGGCATGATCCGCATGACAATGGCTCTTTTGAGGATGAGAGGGAGAGAATATCTTTGTTGACTATGAGACTCTTGAGGCCTAAGAAGGAAATCCAATGCAGAAACGCCATGGAATTGAGACACCTTACACTCTGCTCAAGGTCCTTTGCTGATAACTCGACTATAAAGTCGCTTTCCTTTCTCGCCAGTCGAATAATCTTTCAACCATCGAAGTTCTCTTTTCACTCCATTTCCCTCCCTCGCCTCAATTTCAACAACCTTGAACGCAAGTCATCAACTGTACGCAAACCCCCCCGAACCGGCTAACCATTCTTCAAGACGTTGAGCATTATCCAAACCAATTTTACAAATCTAACAGCATGGGTATTCCACAGTGGTCCGAGCAGGACGAGCGCCAGGCGCGCATGCAAGATGCCGGTCTCTACATCGACTGGCCGAACCCGTACAACCTCGAACCGGGCCTCTATATTATCGTCCACACGGAGTATACCACCCAGCCCGGCGAAATTATGGATGTTATTGACGACGCATACAGCGCCGTCACCACGCGACTCAAATCGCAACAGTTCCGCAACCCGAGGCACCCAATTCCAGGGCGCAAAAGCCTTTTCATCCATTATGAGCTGATCAACCAGGATGACGGAACCACGAACCCCTTCCCGACAGAGGTAGACCTCTTCGAAGATGTTCAGAGACACCTCATGCACATGTTTGATCAACTGGAGTTCGGGGTAAAGTTCGATTTCCCGTATAAACTTGGTCCGGTGCGTGTGTTCTGGTGTGATATGGTTGAGTGGGAGCATGAGCTTCCCACTGTCACTGTTGAAGTGTTCGAGGAGACGGACTCTGATTCGCAGGAGGCTGAGCCCCCCACTGTCACCGTTGAAGTGTATGAGGAGGTAGACTCTGACTCGCAGGAGGAGGCGCAAGATGACGATAAGCTTCCTGAAACTGCAGAGCAATGATCCCTCTTTGGCTTTGCGTTTTTAACCGAATTTTCGATTGGTGCACTGGGCTAACTGAAAAGAATAGCCATCAGAGCGACACAAAAACCGACACTTAGCACATACTGTTTGGAGTCCGGATTGATTGGGATTATCGTTGTGGAAAGGTATGTCTTTTTTGCTTAGTCTGCAATTTAATGTTGGAGTTGCGTGCAGCGCTGGTCGCATGTATCTTTCCATCACAGTAATACCGATGGATATAACTCAGTCCTGTTCACAGTTCCTTTTGGCAAGGAAATAATTCACTGCAGTGGTCTGCAGTGGCAACAACCTTAACTATTATCATTAAACACATTGACTGTGACGATGGTGGATCGTCACACCCTGTTTTGTCTATGTGAATTCTATATCGTACTCTATGCATGTTGGGATACATAAGATCGTTCGTTTCTCATATCATCATGAGGGTCGTTGCTGAAATACGGTGTCGCCGGTCGAAGAAGCCCTCTATCAAGGTTTATGTCGCATGGTCATTATGACAGGTGAAATAAATCCTCGCGCTGGAAGAGGCCGTCAATCAATCCAGATCACGTCATCAGCAGGACTTGTCGATTTTTGACCATCAGAACGACTGCGCAGCGGCAAAGAATCCG